GCTGTGATTGAAGGGGTTGAATCTGACATTTCTGAGCAGATTTCCACCATATCAAGCCTCTACAAAATGCCAAAGTTTGGAGAATTTGATCTGTGGATGAAAATTGTTCAAAGCACACATACCGACACATAACTACAGTCAAGAAAGAGATATAAACGCAATATAAAATGGTTTGAAAGGTTGTCACAGGCAGGGGAGAACATCAGTTCCAGTGCCCTATCTGAGTAAGTGCTCTAATGTTTTGAGGGACAGGAGATGTTAAGCATCAAGATAACTTCCTTGGATGGTCGTGACATTTATTCATTTTATTTCAGTTTCTCAAACATGTACGAGATAACAGGTATAAGTATAAACATAGACGTGGACAGAGGAAATAGGTACGAATACATGGTGACAATAGGACAGGGATGGTAGGCACGCTGATGCGCTTATCCATGCCCCCTTACAGACCTCTTAGGAAAGGGGTGAGGTCCACACTAGACAGTTTAAGGTTAAAGTTACAGGGGTTTGAGGATGGAATAAAAGAGTTAGATAGTGCATTCCAGGCAATTACCACTCTGTTGCTGAAGTCATATTTTTTGCATTTGAGTTTGGAACGGTTTACATCGAGTTTGAATCTATTGTTTGCCCGTGTATTATTGCGGTTGAAGCTGAAGTAGTCATGGACAGGTAGGACATTTTCCTGGGCAGGACAGATTCAGGCTTACCTTTTCCCCTCATCCCAATTCATACCTGTGGCATTTTGTAGAGGCTTGATATGGTGGAAATCTGCTCAGAAATGTCAGATTCAACCCCTTCAATCACAGCCAGCAGCCTTTTCTCTCTTCCACAAATGTAGTTTGGAACATTTGCCTGTCCGGTGGAGAGCAAGTCTGCCAGGGCTTCGGTGGTCATTCTTGGTTCATAATAGTTCTCGTAAATGTCATAGCCCAGGGTGAAATTGGGCAGAACCTGTGGGTCCTGGTTAATCTCACGGATGGCAAAAAGAAAGGAGAGAAGGAACCAGTATGTAGTAAATCCTTTCCTGCATAAAGCAACAAAACAATGACAAACCTTAATATTCATTTAGCATTTTAGAAGATCTTGGACATAAGCAGGATGTTGGACTAGATAACTTTGGAGATCCGTTCTAACTTTATCCTTACTACTGCAACTACTATTGGTAATAATAATAATATGGTCTCAGGTTTATAGAATAGAATAGAATGGAATGGAATGGAATGGAATGGAATGGAATGGAATG